TTGGCGGCGAATGATGGAGTTCTCACGAAGATGTCATCTACACCCATCATGAGATGTGTAAGTGATTGGAAAGTAAAGTAGAAGTAGGAGTTACAGACAGTAATGTCTTGCTGGACGTCCAAGTCAGCTATTTTGAATAGCGACTAGTCCGCTTGCTTATTCTGAATCAAAATTCTGGAGAAGTTTGGTATCACACAGCTAGTCTCCGGTCGGCGATCCTGTTGCCTTGCTGCCCACCACATACGTTCTCATGACCGACGAGTGTCTACCACGATTACGTGTGTTTTTGGAGGTGTCACTACTATCGTTGCTCGTTGTCACTGCCTTCGCGCTGTGTCGATTCACTACCAAGACTGAGGAGATCCCATCGAAATTCGACGTTAATGCTCTTTACGACCACGTGAGACCCACGTTCCGACGCAGCGTGGCAGCAACAGTGGTGGGGCTCGAGATGTGGGGCGTAATGGGCCTCGTATTGAGCATGCAGCACGGCTGTCTAGCTTCGCACTGGCTAGTAGTGCTCTGTCTGTCGTTATCTGGCGGATGTGTGTTGGTAGGGACGTGGCTGGGTGTACGGGAGACGCTCTTCACCATCGAATGCGATGTACGTTATACTTCGTATTGATAACTCACGTCAACTTCAACCACTTCAACATGAACATGGGGTTTGAGATTTGTCTGATCTTCTTGTTCAATGTGATGCGCGCAGATCTTGACGATGATCTGGTGTCTGCGTTGCTCGTGCTGCTCGCGTCTGACCAAGCGAGCGTTATTGCTGCCCCCATTGGCCTTGTTGGTGACGCTCAACGTCGCGTCCTGCCTTGAAAGCCGTACTGCTGAAGCGTGCAACACATCGGAGCTGCTGTCACCACAGACCTTTTTCTTTGGAGCCGCATCTGTGTTCCTGGCCATGTTAATTGCAACGATGTTGGCTATCGTCTGTCCGCTCGTATCACGTAGGTGTCGTACAGGGTCCTCGCGGCTCGGCAAGGCGTTGGTAGCACTGGGACTCGCCACGTTCGCTGTTATATCCATCGCGTGGGCTATCGTCGGTTCCATGAGCCTCGTTGGTCAACGAAACGAAGTAGATCTGGGCACGGTGTACGCCGAAAGCTGCTGGGACGACGTTGAAGTGCTTCATGCGGCTCAATGGAGTACCGTACAACTGCTAGTCGTGGGTTGTCTTCTTCTCTTGACCACATTCTGTTGTCGACTTGAAAACTTCTTCCTTGCGGCGAATGCACCCGAAATCGACATGGCAGCACTTTCACCCAGACTCGCGACGATCAAAAGTCGATTTGATACAGATGATAAGAAGCTTTCAGAAGCAATAATAGCTGAAGATGCGACTGTGGTGTAGTTGGCAGGCTGTTTAGAACTAAAGCGAAACTCGACTTGACAATGAGCGTCACTACCAGGTTGTGTGTTATCTGCTGCTCACAACACATTCCGCGGTCGACTTGAAAGCTTTTTTTTCCTGGCGATGAATAGCATGACAGCTCTGTCACCCAGCATTCGAAACGGACGATAAGAAGCTCTCATAGGCTAAAGCACGACCTGTGTAAACAGCGAGGTAGATAACTTAACTTGGAAACTATTTCAAGCTGTTCCATTTGTATAATTGTTTTTCGTACAAAGCGAGACAATTAAATATGCACCGGGTGTCTCTAGGGATCATACCAGTCCTCCCTTCCAAGACATTTGAAATGCATCACCACCTAACGTCGCTGATAGAATCAACACGATGCACTATGGGCGTCCAATCTGCTGCTTTCACTCGCTCTTTGCAGTTTTCCTGCTCTCTTGTACTAAACTGCACTGGCTTCAGGAGAACGACTACCTCGAATACTTCGCAAACTTGTTAGCACCTGAATGTGATTGTCATTTTCGCGTTGTAGGCACTGCGTTTGGTGTTCTCGGTGAGCAAAACCCTTCAATTCGTGAGTAATCTCGGAGTTCCTGTCTCGAAAACTGGCGGTACGTACAGTTAATCTGGGCCACTCATAGCTTATCTTTCGTTACATCTATCCTTCACAGATTCGTTCGCCTTACACGTTGGGTAGTATATCACTGGAAATATCACGGGATAGCGAGTTACGATACGTTTAGGTTTTCTCTGGACAATTGACGGACTTGGAATTCATACACACAAACCTCACGAAATTACCTAATGAGGTCATGGAGAGTTGGAGTAATGTTGAGCTCGTTTTCATCGAACACGACAATTGAATTCGTTCCAGTATCGCTCATACAGCTCCCAATGTTGAATTAACTATCTCTGATCGACAACGCAATCGAGACGATATGCCAGGACGTATTTCTATCAAGTGTTTCGTCGTATGCTGCGACTTTGGTCTCTCCAGAAATCCTTTGAAACACCTCCATAAAGCTCGATTCTATCATTTTGACGTGTCGTATCTGGCGCTGGAGTTCACTCAGTTGACAAAGCTTCCTACATGGGTAGAGATATATGTGTGGAATGCAGTGTGGATGGATGGGTCATCACTTTGTAACGATGATGGAGCTGAAATCCCTGACTTTGTGGCTTGTAGTGCGGATGACAAAGCGTAGGATCCCTGCGTAACAGTGCTATCCGACCGAAGCTTTGCGCTTTCTCGTTCGTTGTCGAGTGAGCTTAATTAAGTTCATTCAGAACTTGAACAAGCTACGAAATCGAATAGAAGAAGCTGTATTGTCACCAAAGGCTGAACCGGAGTTCACTCAGCGGACAGCCACGCCTGACTGGGTAGAGGGAAATATCTTGGATACCGTGTCTTTGGGCGGCTCACCATTTGATAAAGAGCATGAGATTGAAATGTCTGATTAGTAGGTTTGATGAAGAGCGTCATCTATAGTTGTCGAGTTGGTTCCACGAAACTTAAAGGGTAGAACCCATTCTCAAGCGGATTCCATTCAGTACTTGAGCACTCTACAATATCGAGCAGCTGAGTTGTATCGTCTTCACAAACCGGTGAATTTCCTGCTTCAATCAGATCTCCAACTATTGTTACGGTCCAGGAAGGCAGTGTGGTAATAGTAGTATAAGGTAACCACAGTTCCAAAATAATCAGGCTCTCTTTCGCCGCTTCGGGGAGAACTGGTAGTGGATTGTACGAAAGCGCCAGCGTAGTATAAAAACTCGGGTAAATATCTGATGAAAAGAGGTCGTCGGGTAGAGTCTTCAGATTATTATTTACTAGAGAAACTTCGACAACAGGAAGACAAAAGAGGGTTGTAGGGAACGTTTCGAGTGATGCATGCTCAAAATACAATGTCTCTGCGTTTATCCAAGCTTCGGACACTGCATCAGGAATTCTAGAGAGATTTGATAATACGATCTCAAAGTCGGTGAGATGGTAGGGCAGTGGAGTAGTCAGCACACCTTCCGGCAGTTCCGTCATGTTTACTCGTACCATAACGAGAAACCCCATTTTCGGATGCAAATTTGCATTCAACGCAGCTTCGATTCCCCAATTGACGATTGTCACGTTCCAGAGCTCGAGTCCCAGTAAATTTGGGAACTCTCGTATTGAAGAGGGCATCCTAAATTCGGAGCAGTGTTCGAAGATAATCGACGCCAGTGCATTGCGCTCCAAACCACCGAGAGCGTCTTCTGCTGGACTCGCCACTCCTTGTCGATAACAGTTAAACTTGACCACAGAACAGCTGACGTTCTGTGCGAACCACGGACGTACACTCTGCTCACACATTTGTGCTGTACAGGAGTTCGCGTTGGCTAGGAGCATATCAGCTCGAATATGTAAAGCCAACACAACTGTAGAAACCACTAGGAAAAATATAAAACCTGCGATATCTTGCAATCTCCCAAGACCCGAAAATTCCGGTGGATGTTGTGGAGCTGCCGAAGATACTTTAATGGCAGTGGAAACATTTTTCTTGACTGACGACCCATTCACTGGGTTTTTCTCGAGAATGAAGCTGATACTCGCTAGTCCAAGCAGGAGACTTCCATGTGGGATAACCTTTAAGAGACTGTCTCTAATGGAGAGGGCAAATATGGACTGGTTCTCGTAAATTAGTCTGGTGTACATCGTGTCGTCGTACAGGATCTCACTTGGAAACGTCCACTGATTTGGGTCAAATTTATGTGCCCAAGGTATGAAAATTGCAAGTGGTATTGCTAAACTCGAAATTGCGGTAAGTAAAGTATCCACAGTCACGCATAAGGTTCGCTCACGAATGGCTGGAATTCTTGCATTGAGACTGCGTATCGAGGAAACTTTAGTTACTGCACGAGACGCAGACGCCAGCATCAGGTGATTCAGTATCGGAGTTACTAAACAGTTGATCACGGTCATGGCTACAAACGCCTGGTTAATCCACACACGAGAGATTAGAGTACTGTAATTGTAGCATTGATAAATCTGCGCAGCCACTTCCACAGCCTTACGCAGTACAAAGATAAACTCGAAATGGCTTCCTTGAACGCTTAGAGTTTTCTCTATTGCTGTGAGGGTACGCATGGCTGTGTTGTGTATTCGACTTTTAGATTCCGAGAAGCTAGAGGTTTTCCCTGGTTTATAACGCATAATAAATTTCAAAAGACGCGTAATCATTGCATCTCGAGGCCACACAACCAAAGCTCGTGCGTGGATGGATGAAGCAATATGTAGTACCAATTGGACAGTGTGTAAGCCACCGAGGATCCCCACAAATGTACCGAAAAGTCGAAATTTGCGTTGTTCGGGAAATGCCAAGAGATTCGAGATGTAAGCCATGTTCGGGTTCTCCATGAAGAAGTACAGTCGTGCCATTGCTAGCAAGTAAGCCGCGCACAGAGCGTGAAGGGTCATCAATACCAACCAAACGACCGCAAACTCCCAGCGTGGTAATCGCGCAGACCTCCGCTTCGTAACCTTGTAGCTATCCTCACGAGTCATCTTCGGCTCTCAGTTGAGCTGCTCGGGTATTCGTGGTCAGAATGACTAAAGTAACTTATTTCTAAACAGCGTTGTTGTCACTATATTCATCCTTGTTTCTAAGAAAGCCATCCTGTGTAGCCATTTACGTTGAGAACTTTCTAAAAAAAAAAACGTCGCTTCAGTATCAAACATTCTTGCGACGGAGTATGAGCTACTCGTACGGCGGTGGGGGCTACGGCCAGGGTCCCTCCAACTTTCCTGGTGATGTTGGGGCTTATGCAGCCCAATTGCAACATGGCCAGCGCTTTGGCCACCATCCTACTCCCCTCCAGGCGCTGGCCAGCGCTGTGGCCCTCCCTGACGTCTTCACAGAAGCCGAGATGGCCCGCACCTTACGACGCAACAATGGGGACGTGATGCGTGCGGCCCTACAGCTCAAGGAAAAACACGCATTCCGCACGGAGATGCACTACCAGGACCTCAACGTGGGGCTTCCTACACTACAGGAAGAACTACGCAAAGGTTACGTTCATTTACTGGACGGGGCCGCGGACTCAGAGCGCTGTCCCGTTCTATTACTGCAGCTCCAGTACTTTAAACCAGGTTTTGGAGACGGCCAGAAGCTGCAGCGTCAAGGCCGCGGGGCGGCCGACGGATCGGCCGTCAGTTCTCTTGAAGATGCACGTAGACTGTGCGTGTATCTAATGGACTTGGCCGTGGAGCTCATGGAGGAGCGGAACGCCCCGGGTATCGTGTTCATTGTAGATGTAGCCAACTGCACACTGGCCAACCTGGAGGCCAAGATGGTCACAGATATTTTACAAGTCTGCAAGAACTGGTACCCGGAAGTAGTCAAGCGGATCTTAGTGATCAACAGTTCGGCCTTTACTAAAGTGTTGACAATGTTGCTGGCCAAGTTACTTGGAGCGCGTACCCAGCAGAGAATTCGAGTTATGGGCGATCCCAGAGAACTCAATATGATGCTACCCCCTCCGGCCATCCCTCAATGTTACGGGGGAAGTTACCCAATGATACATCCGAATATGTGGATGAAGAAGCAGGCCGAACTGGAAGACGTCGATCTCGATGCGGCCTACAACGTCCACGATGAAGAAGAGGAAGAAGACAAAGGATATGGCCTGGAAGAGCGAGAAATTGACCCAAACGAGAGTCTCAATGGCATGCAGTATGCTAATGTAAGTGCTGTAGACGCCGCTGAGATGCCGAATAGCGTCTTACGTGGTCCCTTGATGAGGAAGAAGATGGACGGCGTGTGGGCCAAACACTTTGCATTGCTACGACCGGAAGCTGTGCTGCTGTATGAGAATGCCACTGGTATACGGCCAATAATTATCATTCCGGTTAACTACGAGGTGCGGGTGGTGGCCGCTACATTTCCTGACAGGCCGAAGGGCTGTGGATTTCGAATCGAAGTCCCTGGAATTGTCGGTGGCCACGAACTTGTCGCTACCAGTGAACAAGAGCGTGGGAATTGGCTACAGGAATTGCAGTGGGCTATCAACCATAACAAAGAAAAACTTGAACGACGAGAAGAACGAGAGGAACGTCGCGCCAAGATTCATCGGGACTTTGATGCACTCAATATGATCAACTTTGACGTGGATCTGCCTGTGCCGCAGCCTATAAAAACCGATTTTGGGAACTCTGCAATGATGCAGCAACAGGTGCGATCTCCTCAACCTGTTGAGATGCTTGGGATGTCAATGCCTGTTCCGATGACGATGAATACGATGCAATCGATGCAGATGCAGCAGCCAATATCGATGAGCATGCAACCTCAGGCGATGTCTATTGGAATGCAGTCTCAGCCGATGGCCGGAATGGTATCAATGGGCTTGGGAATGCAACAAGCGATGAGTATGGGACTCCAACAGAATGCAATGCCAATGCAGCCGATGGCCTATGGAATGCAGCAGCAAGGTATCGGAATGCAGCCAGGGATGATGTCTATGAACATGCAGCCTTCGATGGCAATGGGAACGCAACAACCAATGATGGGAATTCAACAACAGCAACCAATGCAAAGAGGTATGCAGCAACAGACAATGCAGATGCAGCAGCAAGTTCCAATGAGTGGACAGCAAGGAATGAATATGCCTGCATCATCGGGTTACCAGTTGAATTCAAAGTCTCTCCAGGAACAGCTACTCAATAGTTTCCGCGGTTAAGTGAAGGGATTACGTCGTATTCGTCGGTGGGAGACGCTAATGAGAATATAAGCACCGTAAAAGAGAATAAAAGCTAACAGCTTCACATTTTTTCTTATGCGTGCGTATCTCGAAACCGAAGGTAAGAACCAAAGTTAGACTTTTCAAAGGATTGGAATAAATACTATGGCAGTGGATTCGCGCAGTTGCTACTTTATTTTCACCTGTTGGGTCCTCCGTACATTGATTGATTGATACACTGAAAGACACCGGATTCAATTTCCGTGATGGAAACGTTGCCAAGTGAATCCGTAAGATAGCTAAAAAAAAATGAAGTCACTCAACATGGGTCAAGTGAACACAAACGTAATGTATTTCGTTGTCGCAAAGTAAGTGGACGCATGCTACAAACCCCTCTAACGGATCCTTCACCGTCCCCGGATGGACGGTCGTCAAACTCTCAAAGATAGCTCGTGCAGTGTCGCGTGGAAGACAAGAAATGTTCTTATCGCTTCAATTTAAGGGATGTCCTACTTTTTGTCAGTACGTCATTCTACCCCTGGAGAACGAACGCATCGATGCGGCGAGGTCTGTCCGGCATAGTCCAACCTGGTTACGTTGAAGAAGGCGATGGCTTCGTTGTCGAGAGCTCCAGCTATAGTGTCGTTCCTCTACGACGGATCTCCAAGCCTGAAGCTGAGCTTGAGTCGATAGATCCAGTACCGACAGTCGAGTATGTCGTAGTGTGGCTACTGCTGTTGTGTTGCCATGGTCTGTGCGCAGCTTTCCTATTGGCGAAAGGGATGATCTACTTCTTCATGGAAAATCCACTTATGGCATACTACGCCAACTTATTGGCACTTCCTGAATGTCGGTACTTCCGCTTATTCGGAACGCTTGTGGGGATTCTCGGAGCACTACACGGACTACAATTGGTCCTTCATCTGCTATGGTCCATCAAATCTCGATCCCCCGCTGTATTTCCTCGAGCCGCGATAGTCAATCGAGTGATTAGACATTTACAAGGACTAAAGACTGCGAAAACTCAACCGGTAGTATCAGCTTCTCGTTCTCGAAGCTCTATCACCTACATCAGTGCTGCTACAGCTGCGGGTTTGCAGGATATGCTGAGTGTCCAAGGTGACCACTTCGCGTTAGTGTTCATGATTCGCAAAGCTGCGGAAGCAGGTGCACAGATCGTTCAGTGTTATCGCTACAGCTCATTAATCAGTCGAGTGTGGATCAATCAAGTGTATGCAGCTGTGGTGGTTGTTAACTGCTGGGTTACGCCTGCACTGGACTATCTCATGGTGACATCCGATTCTCGAACTGACAAGGAGATATCGATGGCAAAGGAAGATGCCGCTTTATCCATTCGAGAACGAACCATTTGCGTTACTGTCGATACACTGTTGACGATCATGACGTGTCTTGCGTTACCTCTTGCCATCTTCGTGCCTTACGCTAAGGCATTTGACGTAGGTTGGTACGGTTTTCCGCAGGAAATGCTGTACAACGATGTGATTTTCCCCAACCTTATCCGTGAAAACCAAGCTCTTTTTGCTCTGAGTTTCCTCGATGGGATGACGAAATTTATACCGCACTTGAGTATTTTACTCGGAACAGCGAGTATTAGCCTCATTCTGGAATTGTATCCTCCTCGACGATTTAAGAGCATCAAAAGTAAAAGGAGTTCCACCGTTGCAGTTCGTGGGCAAGTACAGAATGAACAACCGGAAAGCAGTTTGACACGTGTAAAACCCATGCACGTCGTTGGTTGGAGTTTTTTTAGACGCTGGGTGGTTCCTGTTGGGTTTATTACCGCCGGAGCTACTGTGCTCGGATTACATCTTCATGCCGCACACTTGGCGAGCACAGGTGATCCTGCAACTATGACAATGTGTCTGCAACGACTTCGACCGTGGTTTGCAGTCAATGTGAGCTGTTCGATCCTTGAATACAATTGCTACACGCGCGGCGTATTGTCACCACCATTCGATGTATTAGATCAACTTCAAGGTGATGCCGTCACTGCCATCGTTTTCGAGCATTGTCCAGAATTTGAGATGCCTCCAGCCATCCGCCGTTTCCCGAATTTACTAGGACTGGAACTTTGGAATGTCTCGATCGTAAAATGGGATGCAGACGCTGCGCTGAACGCTGATCTTCACCCGAACATGTTTTACCTTACCATGGCTTACACGAATATGACCGAGATGCCTCGAGGTCTTCTAACCACGCCACTACCGCCACTACTCGGAGATATCGAGATTTCAGTCACCAACCTTGAGGTTGTCCCAGACGAATTAGCGGATGCGTGGTCCAACGTACGACTCGTTTATCTGGAACACGCCCCGCTCAAGGAATTCCCTACTGCTTTATTTAAGATTCCATCGCTATCGGTCTCCTTACTAGACGACGGACTCGAGACGATCCCTGAAGACCTGTTCACGACGGTATCTTTACTTGATGAGTACTTGGAGATCTGTTTCTCTTACAACCCGATCAAAAATCTCCCTTCGTCGACCAGAGAAAACGTTTTTATCAACTACCTGACTCTTGATCATACGGAATTGACGAATTTGCCAACCTGGGCAAATGGAGCTGGTCAGTGGATAAATCTGGGTGGGTGTCCAATTTGCAATGACACGGAAGCGATATTACCGGAAGTTGCTGATTGTACCGACTGGGGATGGAATCTGATGGTCGATGGAAGATTCCCGTTAGCTTTAGTAGCACAATTTCGAAGATTAGAGTAAAATGGCAAATGTGTTTTTAGGGATGATTTCGTGTAATGACAAAACCTGTATGCTTTTTTATTATGGCAGAATTTTTTTTGAAGTGGAGTTGCGTTCGTGGCGTTCGCTATTTCGAAATGTAGCTAATCCCTGCTAATAAGATCCACGGTTTCCCATGTCTCTGCTCTGAGGTCATGTGCTTTCGTTGGTCACTATTCTTGACGTTTTGGACCGTCCAAGTAGTTGTCCAACTCCATCCCAAGGCTATTTTCTGTCCTTAGCCAAACTAGCGGACATTTCTCAATTGGTCCGAAGTGTCCAAGGATGGCGATTGTTGCAGAAGACGACGGCTTCGTCGTGGAGAGAGCGAGCTTCAGTATAGCTCCACGAAATTCTAGTCATCTCCACCCTCCACCAACGTCCAAGCATACCGACCCATTATCGACTTTCGAGTTTGTGGCAGTGTGGTTGCTAGTATTGGCACTTCATGGGTTGTGTGCATCTTATTTACTTGCAATGGCGATGCTCTACTTTTTCATGGAAAACCCGTTAATGGCCTACTACGCAAATCTACTAGCGTTACCGGAACATCGCTACTTCTGCTTATTCGGTACACTTGTAGGCATATTGGGGGCTCTGCATGGACTGCAATTGGTGCTCCATTTGCTTTGGTCGATCAAGTCTCGGGCTCCCGCTGTATTTCCACGCGCTACTTTGATCCATCGACTAGTTAAGAAAATTGTTCAGAGAAGTAAGAGAGCTCAACCAGTCGCGCCTCGGACTACTTGGTCACGAAATTCTATCACTGCGATTGGTTCTGTCACAGCTTCAGGTCTGCAGAATGTGTTGAGCGTGGAGGGAACCCACTTCGCAGTAGTCTTCGTGGTGCGTAAAGCTGTGGAGGCCGGTGCTCAAGTTGTTCAGTGTTATCGTTATAGTACACTAATCGGTCGAGTATGGATCAACCAAGCGTATGCGGGCATGGTAGTGACGAATTGTTGGGTCACACCTCTGCTAGACTATCTCATGCTTGCTTCGGAGTCACAAGCAGCGTCGACGCGTAAGATGGACAAAGCGAAGATCGCAATTCGAGAGCGCGTGGCGTGTGTGTCTATAGACGCATTGCTAACGACATTCGCTTGTCTTATTCTACCGCTCACTATCTTCGTCCCTTATGCTCAAGTGTTCGATGCTTCCTGGTACGGCTTTCCCAGTGACATTCTCTACGGCGACGTGTCGTTCCCCAATCTCATTCGAGAGAACCAAGCACTATTTGCACTCACTTTTATTGACGGCGTCACAAAACTCGTGCCACATCTCAGCATTTTGTTTGGAATGGCAAGTATCAGTCTCGTTCTCGAGCTTTATCCTCCTCAACGATTCACAAGCACTCGCAAAGCAAAAGCTTCCGTTGTAGTGGTCCGCAGTAAGTCGCGGAAAATGAGTAAAGCCTTGAAGCAGAGTTCCCAAGCTCACGTAGTCGGTCTTTATTTCTTAAGACGCTTCGTCGCTCCTCTTAGTTTCATGACTGCAGGAGCTGTAGTACTTGGACTACATCTCCACGCTGCACACTTGGCGAGTAGTGCGGATGCGAATACTATGGAGTTGTGTCTGCAAGGGCTTCGACCGTGGTTTGCAGTAAACGTCAGCTGCTCCGTTCTAAAATTCAACTGCTACAAGCAAGGAGTCCTCACACCCAGCGACCAACTCGACCATCTGCAAAGTGACGCTGTGATGGCGGTCATCTTTGAGCATTGTTCAGCATTTGAGATGCCTCTTTCTATTCGTAACTTCCGAAATCTACTCGGACTGGAACTCTGGAATGTGTCCATAGTCAATTGGGGTGAGAAAGCAGCTTTGAACGCAGATCTTCATCCAGAAATGATTTTTCTTATCATGGTTTACACGAATATGACGGAAATCCCTCGAGGCTTGTTAACGACTCCGTTGCCCCCACTGCTCGGAGATATCGAGATTTCAGTTACCAATCTAACAATTATTCCAGATAACCTGGCAGACGCGTGGTCTAACGTTAGACTTGTATATCTGGAACACGCACCGCTAAAGGAATTCCCGACTGCATTCTTCAAGATTCCGTCTCTCTCGGTGTCTTTGATTGATGATGGGCTGGAATCAATACCCGACGATCTCTTCACGACCATGTCTCGGCTTGATGAATACTTGGAGATCGCTTTTTCATACAACCCGATCAAAAACCTTCCCAGTTCGATTAGAGACGGTCTTCTTATTAACTATTTGTCGGTCGATCATACCGAACTGATAGAGTTGCCAACGTGGGTGGGTGGTATCGGACAGTGGATGAGTTTGGGAGGAGCTCCAGTATGCAACATCACAGAGGCGGTGATTCCGGACATCGCAGATTGCACCGATTGGGGATGGAATCCTATGGCTGATGGTAGATATCCGCTAGCATTGGTAGCCCCGCTTCGAAAGATCGTATAAGAATTTTCAGTGAAACTTCAACTACTAATCAATGACGAAAGAACTACTTGGTAGTTCAAGTGTGCTTCTCTTGAGTACATTAATGAGATTGTATGCGAAAGTTACGAAAGCAGCTACTTCTAGTGAAGTTATCTGTTATTCCTTACTCTTCTCCTGCTTCCACAGCAGATCGCTTTCAGTGCCTCTTATTCAAGTAAACAGACGAAGTCAACGAGGGTTGGTCCGAACTGTTTCCAATCTTCAAAAGCACTGATCCACGAGTAATTCACATCGTCGTTACCGTCCATGCGCAGGTCTTGGTTACACACAGTATATGAACCTCACTTGGTTGCTAGTAGTGTAGTAAATTTACATGACACAGAAGGTTAATTGTTGCGCTGCTGGTAGTTTTGGTAGTTGCTTCCACTAGCAGAGTGCTGGTAGTGTTGGTCGTTGTTTCTACTAGCAGAGTGCTGGTAGTTTCGGTCGCTGTTTCTGGTAGAGTACTGGTAGTTTTGGTTGTTGTTTCTGCTAGCGGAGTATTGGTAGTTTCGGTTGTTGTTTCTGCTAGCGGAGTATTGGTAGTTTCGGTTGTTGTTTCTGCTAGCAGAGTTCTGGTTGTTTCGGTTATAGTTTCTGCTACCCAAGTTGCGATATCTCTGATTCCTCGAATAATTCACATCGTAGTTGCCAAAATTTTGCTGCTGCTGGTCGAACTTGGCTGCAGATTCCGCAAGTATTCGCTGCCTCATCACCTCGGTAGCGCGTCGATCTGCATCCTGCCTCGCCTTTGCGTCTCGATATGCCTGCTGGGAGTTTGCTGTCATTTTACTGGAAACGATGTCGAATCCCCAGAGAGCAAGAAATGCCACTACGAGGATCTTCCAGAGACGTGCGGACATCTTGGATGTAGCTTAAACGTTGGAGGCGCTTGAACGTTGGGGCTGGAAGGCAACTAACCTTCGAAGTATTTTTGGTTTTTTATGACCTCAAAAATCTATTCTAGCCCGGACCCTTTTTTATGACTACAAAACCAAACAAAGCAAAAATCTGCCAACAGACTCATTCAATTAGGTCATTAGACGTGCTCTTCCCAGCAGTTCGTACCTGCTTGAGAATGAACATTGAGAGGTGGTTTGTATAGTAGGTAGGTGGTGTAGTCTACTAGGTTTAACTGGACTTGGCGGCTTCTTCGACCTTCTTGGGGTCGTACGTGAACTTGCGGTAAAACTGCACGAGACCCGTGCCGGCCATGAAGACGTTGACGGCGAAGAGGTTCCAGTTCTTGGGAGTGATGACCAAACTGTAGCGGGACCAGATGAGGCCCGTGGCTGTCACTGCCGTCTGCTGTGCTACCGAGATGGTCTCAGGCGAACGCTTCATGTCCGCGACGTTAGCCAGCGAGATGCCCCACTTGAAAGTAGGCGCCCAGAAGTGCACAGTGAAGGGACCCGCCGGGTGGCTCAGCATGGCCGTCAGCTTGGGGCTGTTGGCCACGATCTGCTGCTCCAGGACCTTCTGCTGGATGCGGGGGACGATGGACGGCAGCATTTTGAGCGACGACGATGAAGAAGGTCTTTTGGGCCTGACGAGGGGCTCCGGAAACTTTTGATTGTGTGCACAGATTTGCTCTGCTTGGTAACGGAGATGCGATATTTGATTTCTAGTCGCATGGTATAAAAATATTCCACGAATAGGAGCGAGCAGCATCATTATTGACAAAGGGAAAAAGAGATATCACATGGATAATCTTTTTAGCTTTATAAGTAATTACAACTAGCCGCAAACTGAAGCGAGTGCAATCCAAGCACCAAAGATGTCAACGCAGAGTCCGAGTTCGAACTCATCGGAAGCTTTGCGTTGCATCAGTATGGGGGTCTCGGTTAACAAATTTTGCATCGCGCCGAGGCATGGGATTGATGCTAGTTGTGAAGCCACCTGTTTTGTGGATACGCGAGTCTACTGAATCGTGTCTTTAGCGCGACGCTGCCTAGTGCACCTTCAAGGACGGCATGACAAACATGTTTGCATTGTTTGGTGGCCATTAAGCACTCGACATCTAGGTCGATAAGAGCCCACCGAACAGTAGATATACTTTTGATAACTGGTTGATGGAATGTCTTCTACGTCTTTAGCCGACATGGTGTTTGTTGTCCGGGAGGGCCGAGTGCTCGTCCGGAAACTAGCGGTTGAACTGCACGAGAATTTGTCAGCCATGAAGTCATTGACGACGAAGGCCTTGGAGACATTGGCGGTGAAGAGGTTCCGGTTCTTGGGACCACCGCGATATTGGTGGCCCATATGAACGTCTGTGCCCAGGAGTTAACTCAATCATCAAAACAACGTCGTTAGTAGAAGTAGGGGAGTGTCGTGTCAGTACTTGTGAGCAGGCCAGCAAGTATCGTGCGAGCTTGGAGGCATTGGAGACGATCTGCTGCTCAAGCACGTACTGCTGAATGCGGGGCAAAATGAGACGACAGCATATGTGAGGGCTCTTGGCTGGAGCCAACGTGTGCACCTCGCGGTGTTGATGAAGCGACAACTTTCTGCTTGGTGCCGTCTCGTCGATCCTTGAAGATGGTGATCAATTGCAGGCGCAATTGCACCCCATTCTGAAGTTTACAGTTGATGCAAGCCGGCTGTTAATACGTGGAGCACTCGGCATTGACTGCTCACGTGATGAATCCCTACAGAAACGCTAACAGCTCTTCGAACAGTGCACAGTACTTCTTCACCTATTATCTACTCCGTCTGTATGCCTCGCTCTCGACGAAGTGCTTGCCTCTGCGTGTTCACGCGCCATACTTGCTCTTCGTTCCATTTGAAATGTTATTGTTGCATCCGTGAGCTTTGAAGGGGATCCAGCTCCGTCTAACGTTCGCCTTTCTTGTAGTAACTATCAATCTTCTACTAGTACTCCACAGCCACTCACTCTGCTTTATCCTCTGCAAAATGAGAGCCACGTCACCAGTTAAATAGGTAGCTCAGAAGCCGCGAGCAAATGTCCTGTCGACGTCGTGGAGGCAGCATGATGTCGGCATCCGTGGGGTCAACTTCCAGGTCTCTGGATCCGAGACTCTGTCGCGCCTGGGCGCCAAAATAACTGGACACAGGCGTCTCGTCCAGTGCGTTCGCGTCCCGGTCAGATGGGTAGCATTTCTTGACTCCGATCATGATGTTGTTCGCCAACGCGCGTTTGTCATAGCTAAGCGCCTTCTCAGCCTGCAGTCTCGTGTGATAACGCAAATGCAGCCAGTTCCCTCCACTGCTGCTCGAGTAGTTGACGACTTCGCCCACAGCTTGGAACTGGTGTAGGATGAAAGATCTAGCGCTCGACGGGAAGCCGAACACCGTGACCCAGTATTGTTTATCCTGTCCCCACTCGTCACTGTGAATGTTCGGGTAGGATGCGGATCTTGCAGCCGCAGCATTGCGTCGTGCCGAGGCAACAGCCGCGGCCTCGTCATCATCCACACTGTGTGATCCTGCTGCAAAGCCCACGGGGTCCAGTAGCGACATTGTAGGCGGAGGAGGCACATCCTCGTCCTGAGCATCATTCGAAGATGAAGCAGTTTTACGTCTGCGTGTGCCCAGTCCGTCCTGGTAGTTGCCATTGAAGCTGAAGGGCGAGTCATCCGGAATCTTTACGCCCTGCTGCTTATTGCGGTTCATGGACAAGCTCTCGGCGAAGGTGAGACGCGGCTTGGCTTTGGATGAAAGAACGTCTGCCTCGGAGCGGGCGCGAGGGACGCTCTCCTTCGACTTGTCAGTCTTGGGAGTGGCCTGTAGCGCCGTCAAGAACGACGGGAAGTACTCGTCGTCTTGTGCGGTCAGGGGGCGGCTAAGGAGGGAAACACGGACAGAAAGGTGAGAACTCGATGTACAACAAAGTGGACGTTCTCAGGGACAGTCAGGGAGCGTCGGGTACCTTGCAGACGCCATGTCGGGCAGAAGTTATGTGCTCGATCGATGCACTCCACTGAAGCGAAGGAATCGGTTTTGTCGGGGTTTTGAGGATTCCTCTGTTAAGTATACAAATGTGCACCACATGAAATTTGTGTTCTGTTTGTGTTGATTTTGCTCAATCCACACTCAAAATGACGTTTTGGATTCGAGGACTGCTCGACGAGCAGTGCAGTGCTGTTTGATGCAAACGCAAACCCTCCCGAGAGTGAGAGCACATGATATGCTCCGCGTGGTAACGCAAACGTTGCAGTCTCTATCTACAGCTAGATACGGTACTCGGTTCGCTGTGGATAAAGCGATACTGGTATCTGCGTTGCCAACGATCCTGGCCAACCTACACATTTTTTTGCCTGTCAAACCTAGCGATATTGCACGCTGATAGTGCGAAAAGTATCACTACAAGTAGTCCAGGTGTAACGACGCCCTGCTACCTAAGTCCGATGCATTGCACGCCGAATGCCTCTAGTGTCTTGTTGTTCTCATTTCTCCCCGTGTTACCTGTTTGGTTTGCACCTCAGACGTACACCGCTTCATCTCGCCGCGCACGATAGCCAGTCAACCGCCCGAGGCTTCGCAACCAACACATTGCCCTGTCAACAATACGTGGTCTCTCTCCTGTCTCCATGCGTTCTTCCACTTCAGAGGCTGTGCATTCAGCATCGAATAAAAACCAACGATGGATAGCAATGGTGACGGCAATGGCAGAAGCGCTGGTATCGGAAACGCGGTGCTTCGAGTGCAGCCTCGAGCATCACTCGTCTCACAGTTGAATCACATGAATCTGGGCGTGATTGAGAAAGCAGTCTTGTTCCAGCACACCTGGCCTTGCGCCAAACGAACTTGCTTGCCGTTTAATCTGCCCCAACGGAGTCTGCATTGGTTTAACTTTCCCTCAGCGAAAGCCGCACGCCGCCAACGCATTGCATGGAGCGTCTTGAAGCGACTGCGCGTCTTTGGCTCCGATCTGCCCACACCACCAAAACGGAATAAAACACCTGAAAGCAACAAACCTGAAGTGCAGAGCCGTGCGAGTGATCCATCAAATGCGACGTCGATGCGTCATCGTGTGGATCACGATGGGACCCAGCGAGTGGAGGTCGGGGCTCGTAGCTCCAGCGAAAAACCGTCTGCATTACGTTTTCCTTATACATGTACCTTCTCCCAAGAATTAGGTCTTGGTAGCTTCATAATTGAATGTATCGTTGCTGCTTTAGCGAACGCGACTCAGAATGACAGGCTCAACTAGATACTTGTGAGCTGTGTCGCGGTCTTTGATTGGCTGCAATAGGACGGCAGTTTCGGTCGTTTCATGTCCCCACGTTTTGTTTGAAACAACAATTAAACCTCAACCCCAAGGTTTTTTAGGTGATTTAAACAGCCTAAATTTACCTGGCCCTCTGAACCGCAGCTTTCGCCGACGCACTTTGAAAAAGGCCGCATTGCCGTCAGAAGCACCACCAGAACACCCCCACCCCACACACTTTAGAACAATGGTTGACGTTGCCGGCGGAAAGGGAGACGCTGCTAAGGGCGCCAAGATCTTCAAGACTAAGTGCGCGCAGTGCCACACCACCAACGCTGGTGGCGCCCACAAGCAGGGCCCCAACCTTTCGGGTATGATCAACCGCCAGTCCGGCCAGGCCGACGGCTACTCGTACTCGGCTGCCAACAAGAACTCGGGCGTCGTCTGGACTGACGAGACCCTGTTCGAGTACCTCCTGGCCCCCAAGAAGTACATCAAGGGCACCAAGATGGTGTTCGCCGGCCTGAAGAAGCCGCAGGAGCGCCGCGACCTGATCGCTTACCTGATGGAGGCCACCAACGAGTAAGCTTGATGGGAAGACAAGAGGTGCGCTTGGTCGGGAGCAGCAATCGTCGCAGATGCCAGAATGTACATGTGCCGAGGGTGAAGTCCCCAGCTTGCTGATTCTGAAGATAGCGTCTAGAGCATCGCGCGGCGGCGATCTGCTGTCGATGCTTGTGGCACCCTAGATTATATTTTAAACGCTGAAAAGAAGTTTTTCTTTACTTTTTTATCCCGAGGCGATGCCTGCCTGCGTGGAGCTGTTGTGGGTAGCATTGTACCGAGAGGTCTAGAAGCTCCAGGAAACTGGAGAATATGCGATATGCGTCTAAAAGACGTGCTCTCCTCAGTCAGATACGCTGTCCCAGGCCGGCCACTAAAGAATTCATTTCCAATCGACAATATCTGCACAACAGGAATGGCAGCAGCAATCCGATGGCTCGCCAAGGGAACGCATCGTCGACAACGGCGTCGTCGCTAGAGACTTTGTACCCCCGCCATACGAAACGGACGGTCGGGAAGGATCGGATCGCGCGTCGAGCAAATCCCGCCATGTGTTTTAAATCTGTCAACAACGCTGGGGAGCTGCACCACCGAATTGGAAATGCAATGTGAGAGATCAAAAGGAGGGCTCTAATGTTGTGAATTGAGTAAATGGATGATGCAGACTGCTTAGAGGTGGAATTTCCGGCGCGACGTGTCGAGTTGGTGCTGCTTGTGGATCCATTCGTACTCGCCGAACTTGGTGTCGAATGTCCCCTGCTGTAGCCATCGCAGCTTCATGGTAAAGCGCGGGCCGATCTCCTGCAAACGCGCCTTCTTCTCGTTCTCAAACGTGTAGCGATGGTGTCGTACGAAGATAAAATCGCGCTGGTTGTGGAACGTCACGACCTGGTGGCCTTCGAACTCGGGCTGGTGCTCGAACAACGAGCCCAAGAAGCGACCCACGCGGTGACCCAGACGCGTCGAGAAGTTGTTTAAAATCAACTCTGGCTGATGATTCGTGCGGCGACCGCGCTCCTTGATACTGGACGTCAACTTTACATTCGACACCTTGAAGAACGCAGTTGGGCCCTCAGGCAAGCGGCTCACGAGCATACTATGCAACAATAGAGTTAGTCACTGTGTAACATAGTGAATAACAATCAACCATCAACTTACCCATTACAGATCTTGCTTTTCTCCGATAGAACGATGAGGTGCGTGAACTTCTTGTTGCTGGCGAACTGCACAATCTCCTTGATGTCGAAGGTGCCGCGTTTGTAGTAAAATGAGTTGGGCAGCAGATCCATGAGGTCCTTAATGAAGTGGTATAGTTCGCCAGACGGAAATGGACGTGTGGTGATCATGAGCTTGGGCGCTTCTTCATTGGCAAAGATGCTGGCGAATTCGTCGTCCCGTTCGTCAGCCTCGATCTCCTCGTCACCTTCGTTGCTGACCATCGTCACTTCCTTCTCGCGCGTATTATCAATGGTACGCGGCTCCATTTTAGCCGGTGCTTCCTCGCCCATCTCTTCCGCCTCGCGCCGGCGCTTGAGCTGCGCTGCCTTCTTGGCCTCCTTCTTCTCCTTGCGGAATTTCTGCATCACGAGCTGGCGCTTCATCTTGTTCTTGATGTGCGACGGGTTACGCATCTGGAACGCAGACTCAGCGCCGTCAGTATTCGCTTCGCTGCTGTCATCTTTCTTCGCTCGCTTGCTCGGAGGAGCCATATCGCTCGTAACGTTTCCTGCTTGTCACTTCACCAATAGCTCGTCGTCAGCCAGCCAAACAGTCGTCTGTGTTTTGAACATAAAATTATGTTGATGTGGACCACACCTAATTACGAAATAGCAAGGTTGACGTAAATTCTGGCAGATTCAAGTTTGGCCCCAGGTCATCGATGACCATGCGCGAAGAAATGGTGGAGAACGGGCTCAAGTTCCTGCAGCACCCAAATGTGCAGGTGCGCCTTGTGTTATGTGGTTTACTGTGTGTCTGTTACCTGTCCTGACGCTACAAATCCACAGTCCACGCCGCTGTCGGAGCGTGTGTCATTCCTAGAGGGCAAAGGCATGACCAAAGAGGAGATCCAAGAGGCGATCGAGCGCCACCAGAACGGCGGGACAGCAACCTCTACAACGTCAATAGTACAGACAGTAGCTCCACAGCAGCAGCAACTACCAACGGCAGCGCCGATGATGATGAGTGCAGCTGCGCCTATACAGATGATGCAACGACGAGCAAGATATCCTGCTTACGTTCGAGTACTGTGGACGGTGTCATCGCTAGTGGGTGCGGCCTCGATCCTTACATTCCTATGGAACTACGCCGTGCAGTCGGGCTACATTCCGTGGCTGGTATGTGGCTTAGTTGTGTAATTGGAACTATTGGTAGGTGTATGCTGACCGCATTTGCTGCTACAGCGACCGATGCCGCCTCTACTGGAGGCTGCTAAGGTACAGGAGGAGAAAGAGCAGGAAGCGAAGAAAGACGAGGCCTTGCTTGCTGAGCTTTCGAGTGTGTCGTCAGCTATTCAAAAACAGACAGAAGAACTGTCCAAGTTGAGCTCGTCTTTGGATGAGAAGGAGCGCGACTTGCAGAGCAAAACGTTATTGACCACCCAGATTTCCAGCGCACTGGCTGAACAGAGCAATGCACAGTCTATCGCTGAGTTGAAGGCTGAGATTTCGACGCTGAAGACGCTTTTGCTTTCGAAGAAGGCAGAGAACTCTGACGAGTCGAATGTGAAATTGGAGAAGGAAGGCAACGGACACACAAAGAAGCAAAGTGTTACAACCATCGGAAGCAATAATACCGAAGCAGCCACAACTTCAGGCAACTCGCAGCAACCGTCCGTAGTTCCACAAGTATCCAAAGCTGAGCGGATGGAAATGGCACTGAAGAAGCTCCGCACTGAGGTATGAGTCTAGCTAAGTCCTGTGATATGCGTATTGATCGATCGTCTAAACTGTGCTTTCCATATGCAGAACTCGCTGGAACAACTCAAGCTGGCAGCGGGCATTCTCAGCATGTACGTCAAGAACCTCGTCGAGGTAAGGCCACCTACAGCTTTCGTGTTGCTATTCTGTTTTAATGGCTTATAATCTAATATTTTGCACACTGGTACTCGCAGAACCCAGACGTGCCTCGTTATCGCCGTATTGCCCCTGGTAATGCAAACTTCAAGCAAAAGATTGAGCCTCTCAAGGTAGCTTTTCACGGATTTGAACTCGATTATCTTGATACTAATGTTTCTTTTCCTATCGTGCAGCATCACGAGGAGCTGCTCAAGTCCATTGGCTTTGAGACGACAGGTCTTAACATGGAGTGGAAATGGCATACAGCGAGCAAAACGACTGGTGCATTCGATGAGAACATCGCCATTCTTCGCGCGCTACTGAAGGCTCTGCAGTCTCTCACCAACCCGAAGTCGTCTTCCAATCTGTCGCTTGAGGAGATAGCACGCGCTAGTCTTGAAGAGTTTTTTGCGGAACAGGACAAGAAGAAACAAGAGGTGGCCTCTGCCACGACTACTACGTCTACTATCATAACGTCCAACACCGTCGAAGAGAAGCGTCCAGCAGTGCAGAGCAGCAAAAGTATGTTCGGTGCCCCGTCAGGTTCCACCTCTACGAGTCTCGATGCATTTATGGCACGTCTGGAGCAACAAACCAGCGTTAACAGCATCGCCAACGCTGATGTAAACATGAAGACCTCTTCCTCCAATACTGTAGCTGCTAGCGCGGCAGCCGCACGTGATGGCGAGGAGAAGATGCCGGTCGCCGTGGCCAGTTCCATCTCTCCGACGGTGACGGCAGGCGGACCGTCATATCCCGAGTCTTTTAAAGAAGTGATGGATCTCATTCAGAAGGGCGAGACGGTGCCGGGCATCCGCGACATTGAAGACAAACTGTCCGTCGACTCGAGCGAGCTGCTGAGCCAGCAGATGAATGCCGGAGAAGCGGCAGCAGCAAAGCCATGGGAAAAGATCAAGGCATAGCTCCAACTAAGCGGATAAAGTGTTGATAATGAAAGGCATGCTTGTCAAGGGTGCTGGAGTGAAGTGCATGTGTCTTGAAGTTCGCTCACCTCCGCGCAATTAAGTGAGGTGATACAAAAGGCATGTCGGACGTGGGTTACACATGAAAAAATGTACCGGTAGTTCTCTGCCGGCCGCCGAGTTGTATCGATTGAAACGGCGTTCCTCGATAGCAACGCGATGGTAATACTGCATACATTCAACGCGCTCTGCCGCGGCAGGAAGGTCAGCAGCATCTCCACAAATTGTGAGTCACAATCTTTGCTGTTGCGTGGCAGTGTGCTTCAACACAGTTGACCATGGGAGAAAACCAGGTGGCAATATTGCAAGTCTGTCCGTCGCAGTGAACGAAAATGCACGCACAACACAGTGCCATGGAGCCTCCGGGCTGATCGTTCGAAGCTCGACACCACGAGCGCCAATCGAGCAGATCACCGCGCACTTGATCCGGTTTTCCTGGGTTCTAGTCCTTGTGGTACAGTGTGCCACCTTACTACCGGGGCCCCAAAAATATTGCCCTGTTGTTTGTTGTACTACGTTTGACTATTTGATACGAAAACATGCCAAGACTTTAGTGGCTGTGAGGCCAGTTCTCGCCTTCGTTCTCAGGATGAGTGCGATTTGTCGCATGATACTGCTTGAGACGGTGGTGTGGAGTGTTTAGTTGGGGGTGATAAAATAGTGACTTACAAATATTAAGTTCAAAGCTGCTGTCACCGGATTCGTATGCCTCGCAAATTTGATAGTTGCAGGTCGCAATCGTGTTGGACGGGCGACCCGCCGGATAAATGTCGTTTATCCGGCGAGAGCACTTCTCCAAATATATGTGCAGATCGATGGGCGCAGTTTCCAGTTTGCCTCGAGGAGGGCAAGTGATTGTCTAGTGGTGTATCTAGGCTTGGTCTTCATGGCCTACGCTTCACTCAGCAAATGAGGGCGTCGAACACGCAAAGGTACAGCAAGTCAGCCAGTGAGCTTGCGATTTTCGTATGAGGGGATCTCTCACAATTATGTTTGTGTCTGTTGGATCCAGTCGCCATTTTCGACCTGCCACCGCCAGCGGAAGCTACGAGTTGTTCCTCCATGCAAGAAGCGAAGACTTGTGGGCTGATGTAACGGCGTCAAGCACTGTCCGCTGACTGATCCATTTGATTACGATCGAGTCAGTGGATCGAGGCAGTCGGCGACGCGATGGCCAAGTAGGACGAGCAAGTGGATGAAGTGGCTGCACTCGGTAACTGGGTGACGGAAGAGCTGTAGCCTTCCTTGTCTCGTGTGTGGCATTGCCTCTGCTCTGTATCGTCCTAAGGCTTCATGTGCGCTCGTGCGGATCAATGGCATCGCAGCTGTTGGTTAAAGAAAACCGATGTGGCGTTGCTCTTCATGGCGCTTGTGACGATCATGTCGGTGAGTGCACAAAGGTTCGTGATATGCGTGGGTGCCGTTATAAATATGTTTTTATTGTCGAGTTTTTAGCGCTTTTCTACTTTTTCTAAACTGATGGCGGCATCTCGAGCGAAATGCAGCATGGTGAGAGTGGAGTGCTGTGAGGCGACGAGGGCCGTGCGCCGCTACATGCCCATGTCGACTGAAACCTCACCTTGTCAGCCTCCTGGCACGATGGTGCTTGGCTGCTTGAGGCGCGCCCAGCGAGGGGAGCGCTCTCGCTCACTCTCTCGCGTCGCAGCCTCTTACAAGCAGTACTTAAACTTCTTTCCAGAACAAAACGTGTTTTCAGCGTCCTTACCGCGTTTGCGCGACAGTGTTCCGATGTTCGCCGCTCGCGTCGCTGCAGTGCTTCCCAACAACTTGTCAGCACTTGAACTATCGTTGGCAATAGGGAAACTGTCCAGCAGCGACGCGGGCGTCGCCAGAACCTGCGCCGTCTCGCGAGGGCTTTCCTCACTGTCCTTGACATGCGACTTGACGTCGTGGTCGAAGTCGTGGTCATACGGTGACCTGCCTTGGCTACTACCACACTCTGGGGACGTCACGCACGCGGCGGAGTCCATTGGGGACGATACCATGGGCGACGAGTGCTCTTGCTCCGCGACGTCCAGCTCTACGAATGACGCGGGGCTCTCGACCGCCTTGGGCGGGTGGAACATATAAACTAACTTGGACAATCCCGCCGCGAGCACGTTCGTTTCGATGTACGGCGCCGTGTAAGCTTTCAGCAAGTAGCGAGCCGCATCTAGACAAACGGGGAAAGAACACATCTTTCTTTAAAAATTGTCACCACACATGACAAATAAATAGCCATGGCAATACCTTGCAAGGTATGAAGAGGGGTCGCCAACGCACTCCACCACGGTTGACCGCAGGCGGTGCACAGGTCCTCCGGCACGTAACTCTCGTAGAGTCCAGCCAAGTACACGGCACCAGCCGCTAGGTCCACTGATTCAAGTCGCAAACACGCCACGGTGTAGGCGCTGTCGTTCAGGAACGACCATGCCACCTGCTTGATCTTGCTGCTCTGGATCTTCGTCTCCTGCTCGCTCAGGTGCTGCAGACGCACCACCTTGTCCACCTTCTCATTGATGTACTTGTACGGGTGCGACAGTGTCAGCTCGTAGGCTAGGTTGTGTAGTACAACGCCTTCCATAGAGATGATCTTGCCAGCAATCACTTGCGGGTCATGCTTCTGAATGGAGAAGACCTGGTCCTTCTCAACGACCTTACGCACTGCTATGTACTCCCTGGCGACGTAGCCGATCTTCTTGGGGCTTTCTTCGGCCTTGGAGCCAAGCAGCACACAAGCAGCGGCGACCAGGTACTTGTCGTAGCGCACGATCGACTGTCGCATGTAGAAACGGTGGAGGTAGTTGTCTGCACTGATCTGAGCAAGCTTGGGCAGGTCCAAGGCTTTCGACATCTTCTCAATGAAGTCACACGCCTTGCGGCGAAGCACGAGTTCGTCAGTGTACTTCATGCCGTCACGCTGGGAAGGCGTGGAGCGCAGCTCCTGTTCCGAGAAGATCCAGTCGCTCGATGTAGCAGTCATGGCTGTGTGGAGTTGTGGAGGTGGGATGTATGCAGTAAATGTGGTGGGCGTTTGCTTTTAGGTTGATAACCTGAGACACAAACGACGCATCAGACCGTTAGAACGCCACCTCCCCTCCATGTTCAAGACACCCACGCATTACCTGCTAGAAATGATCTCCACCGAAGACGAACGCTTTAAGAGAGCGCGCGAAAAGGACGGGAAATGGGCCGCAAGGATTGATTACGGTTCTAAATGCGCTCGTCCGGTGGCGACGAATGTGCTGCGAGTGGTTCCGACGGGCAGTCGAGTGCTCGAACCTGTCCTGCCTTCCCTCCTGTGACCCGGATGTTGCTTCCGAGGTTGCTGGTTCCTCAAGTCGCTGCTGTCCGGCTAGGCCTCGTTGTCAACGTGCACACACTTCTCCAAGCGCGCGATTCTTGAGTTCTCCCCCCACAGCCACGCGGCTTTTCTTCGCGTCTTACCGGAAAGAATTGCAAAAGAATTGCAAATGAATTGCAAAACGAGTGGCCAGAGCGCCATCCAACTACAATCTCTTGCGTTTTGTATGGGTCAGTTTTAACGGCTCTCCGGACGGAGGTCGTGCAAGTCTGGGATGGGGAGTCATATATCTTTTCATACAACATTGAATTTTCACCGCCCCTCGTGGCAGAGAACGTTCTAGATTTCTGTGCGCGGGAAACGCACGCAAGGCTTTTTTCTGGCTCGCAACGGGCAATTCGAAAAATCGTGATACCCAAATTCTGTGATGGACCAAAATTAGTCAGTCGATCCCGACTCACAAAGGAATCAGCCGTTGCGATGCCACCAGTGAATTTACCTCGCGTTGGGTAGCTCGCGAAAACATCGACACCTCCGTTTGTTGTTACATCAGCGTAATGTCTTGATATAAATACCGTAACAGTGACCAGGCTCGAGCGGGTAATCAGGTTGAGCACTTCTAGGGCAACCTCTCGTACGAAAATATTTGGTTGTGGCACTTTGAGTACCATAATAAGAGTGTGGCTGTTTCGCTCAACTCGCCCTTGCATCACGAGCGAGCGAACGGTGGACCATGGATCTACGCGACTAGTGCATTGCATGCGAGTTACAACTTACAAGTCTATCGCGCGACTTGTATTAATAGCGACTCCACTCAGAACAAGATCCATCACACGACTTGCAGCGACTTATGTGATGACTGCAGTCATGCGACTTATGCTGTTACTACACTACAGCACCGTGTACATGTACGGCAAGTATACGAAGAGTAGCGAAGTTATATACGAACTTCGCTGTCCATGTACAGTCCTAAAATGGGAGTGCCGCACGCTCATATCGCTGTCCACGTACAGAGTCCTAAAATGGGAGTGCTGCATGCTCGTTCAACGGCGTCGACAAAACCTATGGATCGTTGAACACTTAAAATCGCGACTAGCAAGATCTAGGAATGAATTGCTCGACTGGTCTCAATTTCGAAGCAAGGCCAAATTCAGAATCAACGACCAAATTCTCGCTACGTTATGGTCCTCGATTCAAGTGCGATTCATTTCGTTGCGCTTAGGGTTCAGCGCGCATAGAGCCGGCAAGGCTCCACGAGAATATTCCGGGCACTTTAACGGCAATTTAACCGATGTGTCATTGGCTGATTGGAAGCTGGCGTCGTTGTGTCGACAATGTTGCGTGAAGGTCGCACAATACAATTGTAGACGAAATTGACAAAAGCATCAAACGCTGCATGCACGTTCACCACCACATCCAACTACAGTCTATTAACGACGACGTCGTGGCGGCCAAATCTGCGATTTCCTCAGCGAGTCGAGAACCGTGAGTTTTACATGCAGCGCCGGTGAGATCTACGTATGAACTTCCCGCTAATCGTGGATCGATGAAAAACGTGAGCCTGAAAAGATTCGCTATTGACAATCGCAATGATATTGTGAACGATCGCATTGCAACAATGATCTCCATCCTTATGGATGCAGTAGTCGACATGGATAAACGTTGAATGCGGGGTGCACTTGGGTATTTAGCTCGCAACCCACTTCATGTACATGCACTGCAAGCCTGAGATCCCGCTTGCGAGCCGGGTACAGCAACGATGGATCTCATTTCAATTGTTGGCATCTCACGTCGAGATTTTTAACGCACGTGCTGCTTCATTTATTCGCCGGGCAATATCTCGCGCTTAAATCCGTTTGAAATCACAATGGGCAGTGACGCCGCACCGACAAACTTAACACTACACATTGAGTACAACGGGGCGTCCACCCAAAAGCGACGGGGTGAGCGATGCGCCCACGGCAGCGTCGGCAGCCGTCTGTAAGTGCAGCGCTTGTGGCTGATCCAGGCGCCGTAGCAGGAACCGCTGCAGCAGCTCGTTCCGCACCAGTGCGTTGCCCGTGCCGATCATCCTGCCGTCAATCGCACACGCACAAATAATCAGTTAAAGTAGCAAGCGAACGGGAAAAAATGCAAAGTAGGACGTACGGTTGTGCTGATGCCAGAGTCTGCAGTTCAGTGGGGATCATGGCGAAGAGGTTGTCCACGAGGCCACGGCACAGCGCAGCGCTGATATCGCCCATGCTCCAGTTGTTCATGCGCAGCTTCACGATTCTACCGGTGGCGTCGGGGTCTGCACGCTCACCGTTGAGCGTCGGCACGAATGTGAGCTCCGTGTCTTCACGCTGCAGACCCAACCCGATCAATCGGGCATAAATTTCGGCTTCACGTTGCGCCGCCTGCTCTTCATCGTCGTCGTTGCTAGATGGGGTGAGTCCCATTTCTTCAGTCCATTGCTGCCACTGCTGCACCAGCCACGCGAACGTATTGCCGCTGCACGTACCACACAGATACATTAGTCAAGATGAAATGTGGGAGCAATCAAGTTGAAACAAACCCGGAAAGCGAGGCCGCGACACCCAGGAAGCGGTCTTCGAACAGGAACGGCCGTACTTCAAAGCTAGAGTTGCCTTGGTCTTGGGCTTCTCTGCTAGAAGACAGCTTCGCAACGTCTGCGCCAGTCAGCACCATGGCCATCTGAGCCGACGTGCCAATGTTCACTACTATTGGAACCAAAATCAAAACAGTAAACACCACGTCAGTATGTGCATATCTTGTAGCCTTGGTCAATAACAATGTATCGTACGCGTTAAATTGGATTCGCTTCCCGGCTGTGACTGGCGCTTGGACAGAGCGGCCAACACGGAGCAGGGATGGTCGCCCATCGGGACGCACACTGGCTTGTTAGCAGGCAGTCCGAAACCAGCGTGTCCAGCAGAGGTGTGTCCAATACACGTGCCGGGCTTCTTCACAGTAGGCAGCATCGACGATGGGATCCGCAGCGCTCTCAGGACTCTAGGGTCCCATGTCTGTGTTTGCAGATTCAGTCCACCCCAGCTATGAGCATCGGTAGTGTCCATAAACGTCTCGCTACGGAGAGTATGGCCGCACAAAACAAAAGCCACAAAATCGTGGATCGTCCCGCAAGCGTCCATGCCCACTAACGTGCGCGGGGAGTTCTCTAAAGTGTAAGCGAACGAGGCCAGTCCGTATCCAGCAGCAATCCTAATGGGTGGCGAAGCATTTTCCGTAGGTTTAAAGCGAGCAATCTTCTCCCGGCAGCTCTCCAAGAACGCAGGCGTGCAGCGCTGATCCTGCCACGTGATAAGCTCGCTCCACACGGGCTCGTAAGTGTCGTCATCGTTGTGTCCTCCTGTTGCCAGCAAGCGTTCTGCCGCCTCGTGTACAGCACGGCTGCACCACCACACGATGCCGTGCATTTGACCGCAGATACCTACCGAAATGGCTCGCCGTCTTGCTGCTTCTGGTAGCAATCTCACGGCACGCTGCACTGCCAGCAGCACCTGGTCCACATTCTGCACTCCGATTCTATTCTCCACTACGTCTTCTCCGTGTCTAGTCGGCACGGTCACATCGCTGAGCGAGACGTTGGCCATGGCAACAGTCTGGCCGTCGTTAGCTTTCACCACGACGCACTTGACAGCCGTTGTGCCGATATCCAGCCCGAAGAGCAATGGGCTGTCGTCGTTTACATCGTATTCCAACGAATTGGACTGCACAACATCAGTTTCCAGCTCTCTGGAGGGTGGCACCGGAACCGTAGACGTTGCGGGTGCACTAGAAGTCGCCGCAGGGGTATTAGCGCTCGTCATGGATGTTGTCGAACTGGACCGGGTCGATCCTGTTGTTGCTCCTGCCTGTGTAAATCCGTGTCGCTCTACGAACCTTTGGCAAAGCCTCGCGAGTGCTGCTTGACCACTCTCAGCGCTCTTCTTCCCTGCCATGTAGCCCTCGAGCCACTGTGCGTGGTTCTGTCTGATGTAGTCGATCATGTGAGATGACGTCATGTCCCTTCCCTCGCGTCGTCCCTCCTCCAGGAACGCGCTCAGCTCCCGCCCAAAGGGAAGAATCTCACGGCGGCCCGAGCGGCCAATGGACTTGCGTGTATCTGGGCCCTCGAAGCTGTTGATCTTATCGGCGTCGTCCAGCCAGTGACGCAGTGTACGACGCGGAATACCTTCCATCCGACAAACCTCACGCACGCCCGCTATTTGCGCTAGAGCGATAAGCTCACGCTTTTTCTTGACCGAATAATTGGCGCGATGTTGAATACGACGCCCGGCAGAGTCTGCGCTTGTTTCGGATGCGTCTCCTGATGCTCCTGGAGATGCTATCGGGGTCGTGCCTGTACCGTTAGATAGAGCAGCTCTTGCGCTTGTTCGTTCAGTTGCATTCTGCACCATTGTTGCATCAGTACCCTCGCCAGACGCGGCCACATTTGCCTCCTCCATACTCGACTCAGCTGAAGTCACTGCACTGATGAGGAAGTGTCTCGCGTCGTCTGATTGGTAGAAAAATCGCTCTCTTGCCAGGTCTTACAATTGAGGCGACGAGAATTTTACATTCAGGGGTGTCAATAATGGCAACTCGGCGCAGTTACACGGCGGCCTTCAAGCTTTCGGTGGTGCGCGAGTTGACTGAGAATTCCCCTTCGCCTTCCGTGCGATCACTGGCGCAGCGCCATGGCGTGACGCCGTCCATGATCCGCAAATGGCTGAGCAACCAGTCGGAGCTGGAGGCGGCAGTAGCATTGGAAACTTCGGGCCGCAAACTCGGCAGTGGACGTCGCCCCAACACAGCGATCGACTCGGCACTGCTACAGTGGGTCAAGAGTCAACAACAGAGCGGCAAGAGCCTTACAGACCGAGTGATGCAGGAACAGGCCAGACGTATCGCCGAGACACAAGGAATCCATGGCTTCAACGCATCCAATGGCTACATTTACAGCTTCAAGAAGAGGAATAAACTGTCGATAGGTACAGGCAACAAGAAGCAGAAGACGAAACCGACGGGAGTCACTGTGCAGGTGAGTCAGGAGGCCGAGACTATCGAAAGAGACTGCATGTTCGGCATGGATATTGGCCTTAAGAACATCAAGTGCGCGCTGGTCTGCGCCACGTCTGGGAACATCTTAGCCACGTCCAGTGCGCCCATTCAACACGACACCAAGTCGCTAGAAAGTGAACAGAACGTGACCAATATTCTGTTCGCGGTGCTTTCTGCAGTGCAAGCACTGCCGCCGTCGCTGAGAGGGAACATTCGTTCGATCGGCATCTGTGGTGTGGTGAGTTCAGCAGGATATTAACATCAAATGCCAGGAGACTGACCCATCTTGTGTGAATAGATGCATGGGATCGTGTGGTGGCACTGCGACGCGGTCCGACAGGCTGTGAGTGAGATTCAGGCTGGGAATGGGACAACCAGGAGCTGGTCTTGGAGTACCTACATCACGTTCTTAGATCAGCGCTGTACACCGGCAATGCTGACCGAGTGGAGGGCCAAGATTCAGCTGGCCAATGCTGCGGCCACTGCGACTCCGTTTGGGATTGAACCTTTTGATGTTTGTGTGTCGACGTCGCCCATTGCGTCGGGATATGGACTCGCTACGTTTGCCTACATGATGGAGAGACAACCGAGCGATATTGCGGGATATGACGCGTGCGGAACCATTCAGGATTTTATTGCGTTTGCGCTGTGTGGACACTCCTTCCCGGCACAAAACTGCATGGACGTCACCGATGCATTCAGCTGGGGAGGCTTCGACATCAACACGAGGACGTGGAATCCTCACGCGTACGTTAACATCATCCAACATCACAGTTTGTGCTGTAACTTACTTGTTCATTATACTCCAGTGTACAGGCACTCAATCTCCCAGCACATATGCTGCCGACAGTGAAGGCTCCAGGTGCAATTATTGGCCAGAGTTCGGAGGTTGCAGCAGTTCTCTGTCTACCCATTGGGAAGCCCGTATATCTAGCGATGGGTGATCATCCTTGCGCAGTCATGACTGCCATGGCACAGACACGAGGACCTGCAGACCTCAACCTCTCGCGCACCTCGGGTACGTATAGTGAGGTAAAATGGGGCCATGAGTTAGACCTTTGACGATCTTATTGAACGTGTTGTGGATGAACAGTGTTGAGCGTTGGCTCAGCTTCGCAATTAGCTATGGTGTTAACGGAGGAGGACGCGACGCAACTGAAACAATCGCGTGGTAGCTGCTCGTTGACATTCGAAGTGAGGCCGTTCTTATCGGAGAATTGGTATCTAGGCGTAGCTGGGTCATTATCAGGGTGCGTTACATGGGAAACATGTACTTTATACTATCTGTAAGTGCTAACGATAATGGTTTATCGCAGTGGCAACATATTTGCGTGGTTTGTGAAGCAGTGCCAAGCGTGGAGCCGGCAATTGGCAGTGAATCCGACAGCTGAATACCTCTCGGACGATGCAATGTATGCGCGCTTGATTTCTCTCGGCGGCACCAAACTGGACACCGATCTCAAGTTTTCGCCGACGCTGTACGGGGAATGGGCTTCACCCGACGTGCGAGGCAGCATTGAGCAATTACGCATCAGTAACTGGTCACTCGGTGATATCAGCGCTTCTATCTGTCGCGGCCTGGTCGATAACATATTCTCGATGGTTCCCGACGATCTGCGCACAGACCTGCTCCAGCAACCGTACGTCGCTAGCCCTACTGGAGTTCCTCAATATACATGGCAGTTAATACGTGCTCTGACTTGTATCGCAGGATGATCGGAACAGGTAACGCACTGGTTCGCAACAGTCTTCTACAGCATTTTCTTGGACAGAAACTAGCGCACCCTTCTCAGCTGTCAATCCAGAGCACAGCTGATGCAGCTGTAGGCGTCGCCTACATCCCGTCACTACTGCAGAAATGAGCGTCTTCTTCCAGTCGTATCTACAAACATGAGTCATACACTATTTTTGCGGCGAAGATGGAAGAATAATTTCATTAAAAGAAGATGGGGAAGACCTACAAACTACGACTCATAACTTCAGTCTTCAAGGTGTCGCTGCAAGAGTTCGTGGCAGCATTTGGTCACGAAACCAACGCGTTCCGAGGCAGAACGTTGCGTCGCTCAAGGTCTCGCGCAATCAGGTCAATGCGCACACCCATGTTGAAAAGCTCAGTGGAATTCGACTGCGCGGTCTCGGAGTTACCGGCGCGATGCAGTGCCACAACGGTGTTATCTTTCCGACTCAGCACGGGCGAGCCGGACGAACCAGGCTCGGTGTCGGCATTGTACCAGACACTTGGATCGATGCGGCTTTTTTCGCCGCCACGAATATATCCCGAGGAATCGATCGATCTCGACGCCGACATCTCAATCACTGCGGGTTTTCCATCTTTCGTTGCTGCGATCTCCTTGGGTTCACCGCGTGGATGTTGTGGGATATAGATGGCTTCACCTTCCACAGGACCGGCAGCACGGAGGCGCAAGTAGCCATATCGTCGCGTCAAGTCCGTTGCTAAACCATTCGTGAGCACCCGAAGCAGAGCATAGTCCAGCGCCGGATTCTCCGTGACCACCAAGACTCGCGTGGCTTCCACAACGCCAACTTTTTCCCCCACGAAGCCTGCATCCCGACACGATTTGGTCTCGGCCATGAAGCCAACCACAGCCTCCACGACGCGATTAGCTCTGCCTGTTGGAGAATAAGTACCGGGCCAGAATCGACTGATGATATTGGAGAGAGCGCCTTCTGTCCGTTTCTGGTCGACTACAGCTGCATCTTTCAAACAGTGGTGGTTGGTGATCAAATAATTGCCTCGTCCTATGAGCCATCCAGTGCAGAACGACCAACTCGTCGCTTGTTCAGAGCCGTCGAATTCTTGCTCCTGCTTCGTGCGGATCATCAGTCTTGCCACGGCTCGAGCCTTTGCGTACATTTTGGGCTGGGTATTTCGATAGCAGACAGCTTCTTTGGCTTCATCCTCAGCTCCAACGGTGCTTTCCGTGTCGACTGCAACAATCGAAGGACCGTAAATGACGTACACATACGAGTCCACTACTACTACTGGGATAGCACGTCTTGGACCGATTGGGAGCATAAGCGTCGAAATACTCGGAAAATATTCAATCACGACTGTGTCGCCTTTGATCAAGAACGGATGTGTCTGTAGCAGCAAGGAATACGGGCATTCGTTGCTGGTCTCCATATTGTGGCGGGAGTTTGCCGTGACATTGACTGATATCGAGCCACTGGGGTCACGCAGGACGAGTTTGTCTCCAGGCAACAAGTTGAGTTGCTTGAAATTGACAGCAATGAACGCTGCACCAGGCTGGACGGTCTGAAGTGTTGTTGGAGGCCTGTTGTTGCTCGGGTAAAGGCTCCATTCCTCTCCAGCAACAGGATGAAACACGACAACTGCATCGGCAGCTTGGGAATGCTGGGGTAACCCCGTCACACGATATTCACAAGAACTCACGTTTCGGCACCCTCGCCATTGCAGCGATAGCAGTGCAAGCATCAAGGATGTCGATATCGACACCATTACGTGGCTCCTCGTTCTCCACAAACTCCGGGTTTGCCACTCTCTAAACAAGTTTTGGAAGTCACCGTTAGGATTTTCTTCGTTTGACTGGGACAGGTAATGTACGATCGTAAAAAAATGGTTTCCTTTTTCTCGTGTTTTATTCCTTCCTCCGGAAAAACTCTACTGATGTTGCTGCGTTGGCGGTTGTAACTTGACTTCTTCGACAACCACAGGCTCACCCTTGTCTCCTTTAACGTCATCAGTCTTCATGATATTGGCATCCAATTTATGAGGATGGACTGCCGCTGCTCCTGCATACTTCACTTCTTCGACCTTAGGAGAGTAAAGCGTATTATAGCAGATTCCGAAAACCACAAACTGTGCAAGAGTCATTGCAAGGTTAGCTACTTGATCATACCACCAACCTGTGAACAGCGTCTGACTGATAGCTCGTTGCCGACGGGAACTAGCCTCAGGATCCCCCGCGTCTTCCTTGCTTAAGTAATTAGAATAGATAATTCCGAACCCCACCAGCGCTATCCCAATCAACACTGTCACAAGATGAAGCAGTTTTTGTCGACTTGAGCCAACGTCAACAGAGCAAATTTCAATTGAGTTTGCCTTGGACATTACCATAGTGAGGAACATTGTCACATAGTAGGCTTTGCTCGACGTTTTCACATCAGCTGATTGACACGCGTAGGTAGAAGTCTCTGTAGCAGAATTCGTTGATATTTCACTACTCGCACCAGAGCACGAATAGCTAGAACAACCATTGCGTTCTCGACACTGACAACCATCGGTGCATCCAATTCTCGCCCCGTCGCAGTACGTCTCACAAGAGCAAACATGGCAATACTCCACCTTGAGAACAGACTGGCAGCTCTCGTTGTTGTACACAACTGTGCCGAGCAAAAAAGCTAGCGATAATGTAACCAAGAACGCCGCAGCAATGGCACTGGCTCGCATCCAGCGGGGTCGTACAGCTGCGGTCTTCTTGCGCCAGTCAATTAGCCCAAAGAGTTCATTCTTATCACAGAGGTAGTCAGTGAATGATACGGATGCTCCATCATCTTCGACAAATGACTCAAACGATACCAGAGTGTACAGGCCCCTTGTAACAATGGACATCCGATGTGTCACGGTTTGCTTTATGGACAGTTCCTTGGTATTAACAGGGAAGCAAAGCCGTGCAACCAAGACAGTAGAGCCGCTAAGGATGATTGCAGTAGCTATGAATACAGCGCACACGATGCCGTAGTCTTCGTCACCTATGTTGGGAGTGTCACTTGTTTCTTCCTCTTGTGAGGTTGATATGAGAGGTGTGCACTGGATTGGCGCAGTGCAGGATGCTTCAATGTTACCATTTGTCTCGACGCATGAATAACAAGTACACCCTACGCTTTTGAATGTCATTTCAGCAGATGAACACGAGCTGAGGGACATCGAATTGCAATTGTCTGTAACGTTTGAATCGCTTGAGCTGCTTGAAGGAGCCGCAGTCGTTGCCGCTGGTACTGTGTACGAACCAGAGCACGAGTATGGGGTGTAGCAAGAGTAGCTCATATATCCATTGTGCGAGCTACAGTAGTTACTAGTACAAACCGATTCAACTTCGTCGCACGTCGTAGCTAGGATATTATAGTAGTTATAGCAAGTTCCCCCGAAATCTGCTCGACCGAGCAAAGTGCAAAAGGAGAATGCCAATAGGACAGCGTAACTCCGCACAGGCCGCACCTGAGAGGGGTAGTTTGGCATCAGGAAAAGATTCCACGAATCGCCCTGTATGGCGCTGCTTGTTGGTTGTCTTGACTTTTGGTAACTGAGCCTCTTCATCCTCGTGGTGTCGATCGTTTCTTGTCGGTTCTAACGGACGCAACAGGCCCTAGTTGAGTTTGAATGGCAAGCATCTCACGTCCGTTTAGACGTCGCTACAAAAACAAAAAAATCTACAGGCAGCCCCAAAACCAACTGATTTGGTTGACGAGTCAATCGTTTCACGGTTATTCGTAAACGCCCAGATAAACGTTGGGTTTGCTCTTAATTTACATGGAAAAATCGCCATAACCGTACATGAACGAGAAGTTGTAATTGAGAGCCTGTCGGCTGCAACAGATACACTGCACTGATGCTCGGGAGGCTACAACCTCGCATACAGATTTTTTTAAAAAGAAAAAGCGTTTCTCCATCAACATCCTGCGGCTACAGAAGCCGCTACTTGCTCCATCTTCAGCTGCTCGTAAGATATCTCCAACGCATCATTACGGTCCACTTCGTCTCGCATTCTGACACTGTAGATCCGACAAGAGACGCACCCTGCCACCATCGCCACAACGAATGCCAGCTCTATCAGACCGAGTACTCGATGCCCGTCTATCAGGATCATAACACTGAGAGGCAGGAATACCAGTGCATGAAGCAGGAATACCAGAGCGTTCACGACCATTGAGCAACCCACACTGCGCTTCGGGATCAGCCAAACACTGAGAACACACGAGAGCGACAGCAGCATGGAGAAACTGAGCACCAGCAGCCCGAGTTGGCGCTGCGTGGTCTGCGACGTCGACGCTTTAGTGGTGTCCACATTGGCCAGGATCACGAGGTGCAACGCGTCGACGCTCGCGACCGTCCCGTTCATCAGGCTTAACACCATGCGCCAGCGTGTGTTGGCCACCATGGCCGATGATGATTGGCGAATTTCAAGGCGACCGTCCAACTTCAACTTACCGGTCTGATACCGGTCGAAATCAGGTTTTGCTTTTACGTGAAAAGATACCGACGAATCCTGGACGGCCGCTGGCTAAACCAGTGAAGGAAAGAACCGGCGAGGCTCAGAGAGCGACGTCACCAAAGAGTCTACTCCCCAGTTTGCAGATAAGAGACCGACACGGCGATGGGCTGCTGCTTGTCCCGAGAGGACGACCGCTTCGACAGCGGAAATGAGGCGCTGCTGCCCAAGGGCAGGAACGGCAACAAACGAGTGTGCGTGTATGCTTAAGATCCAGTTACTTTACCCTTGTCTTAGTCCACTGATTGACTTGCTACTGCAGAGAGAAGTCGGTTGACACCAAGAAAGAAGGCGCCAATGGCAGCTACAAGTCACCGTCGGCTGTCATCGCTGCCGGAGACGCCAGTTCCAAGGTTCCGGCTAAACCACAGCCTTCCAAGAAGCCAGTGGAGAGCGTCGACCTACTGGGACTTAACGACAAGCCACCAACACCACTGGCTGCACCAGTGATCAAGGCCCCCTCGCCTGCAAAGCCAGTAGAAACCCCTTCACCACCCAAACCTGCAGCACAGACACCATGTCCACCGGAGCCGGCAGCAGCTCCAGTCGTAAAGCCGGAGTCGCCACCAAAGCCAACGGAAAAAGAGCCGTCGCCGCCTAAACCAGCGACCAAAGAGCCGTCGCCGCCCAAGCCAGCGGCCAAAGAACCATCACCGCCTAAGCCAGTGACGAAGGAGCCGTCGCCACCTAAACCAACACAGACGCCCCCATCGAAACCGGAAGAATCGGCACCAGCAAAGCCGGCAAAAACATCCCCGCCCAAGCCATCGCAGCCATCACCGCCCAAGGAGAAGACGACACCGAAGACGTTGCCGAAGAAGCCAAATGAGGCAGAAGAAGAGGAGGAGAGTTTGGTGGCGCCAGCGTTCACGCCCGTGTCCGTCAATGCAGAAGAAGCCGACAATGACGACGATAATGACGATGATAACGACAACGACGGAGATGACAACGGTGACAACGAAGGCGACAATGACGAAGCGAAAGACCAGCCCAAGGAGCCAAAACCTAAGAAGATCACTCCCACGAAGAAGTCGAAGAAGAAACGAAAGGTACGTCGCTAGCCTCGGTTAGTGATACTTCATCGTCTCACGTCTTTGATTACACTTTTGATCCTGTAGAAAGGAAAGAAGTAGACGCCGTCGCTACTTCCCTTAAGCTTATCAGCCGGTCAGCTTTTGCGGACGTAAAATGCTCGAAGACAGTAGTTTGGTTGTCCGAAGCTTGGGGGTCGAGTGAGACGACAGCTGAGGGTCTCGCTCCTCTGTCTAGCTGCTCTTGTTAATGAAAACAAATGAGCGAATTTAGCCAAGAGACAACCGTAAGCGCTTCTTGCGCTTTTGCAGGAAGATTCCGTCCTGTTCGTGTGTGCTACCAGGTGTAGCAACGGAGGTATCTCCAGTCGATTTGGCAGGACTGATACCGCGCTTCACGTTCTCTGCGTGTTGTCGTTCAGCCATCTGCATCAGGTCGCTGGCGATCTCGCCCAGCTCTTTGTTGTCGCGCTGTAGCGCTTCCTTCTCTTGCCGCAGTGTCGCGATTTCTTCGCTCTGAGCGTGGAGTTGGCTCCGAAGCTGAGCGTCCGCCTTCTGCACTTGTTCCGCCTTGATCTGGAGGACAGCCTTCTCTGTCTCAAGCTGTGCAACTTTGGCCTGGAATTCATGTTCATGTGCTGCTACATTTTCTCTAGACGCAAGCGCTTGCTGCTCGCTATCACGCAGCGTCTTGAGCTGTTTCTGAAGCTCCTGCAGTTGCTCCTGTGCCATTTTCTCTGTACTTCGCGCTATTGCCAGCTCCTCACGTAGGACTGTCATCTCCTGTTCGTGTTGTTCTATTAGTTCACGCTGGATGTGCACCACTGATGCCGCACGTAGCTGGTCTTTGCTGGCGAAGCGATGCTGCAGGTGCGCGACGGATTGGGCCAGCACTGTCTCGGTCTTCTGGTAGTTGGCGACCTGCACATCCAGCTTCTCCACTCGCTCCTGTGCTAAGGAAAGCGCCTGTTGCTGAGCATTGAATGCTTCCTGCAGCTTCAGTCGTGTGGCTTTCTCCATGTCTAGCGTTGCCAGCAGTCTCTCTAGCTGCAAGTCCTCGCGCATACCCAGCAGCGTCTGTTTGTGCTCCTGTAATACTGCGTCCAGTCGCTTCTGCAGCGCTTGGCACTGAGCCACTACCTTTTCTCGCTCACGTTCGCGGTCAGTCACCTCGTAGCGCCGCTTCACCAGCTCCTTCCTGGCCGCCAATAACTCCGCGTCCGCCGCCATCTTGGCCTCGTGTTTGGCCTGCGCGATCTTCACCTTCACCTGTGCTGCCGAGAACCGCAAGGCGTACTTGTCGTCGCTGTCACCATCATCTACAGACGATTTGTCATTGTTTGCACTTGTAATAGAGGACTCTAGCTGTATTTGTTCCTCCGAATTCATCCCCATATCATGTTGTGCAGCGGATTTCGGCGCTACGCAACTCACAGCGTTCATCGACACGTCAGCAGATAGAGGACGCTCTGGTGACTCTCCGTCTATACCTTTCTTCTCCATCGGTGTCTCGTGTGCAGAATTTCTTTTGCGGAAACTTGCACACTCTTGTTGCGGTGTTGCTGTTGGCGTCAGAATTTGAAAATGCGAGTCAAAATTGTGACGAGCAAATCTGAGTCACCAAACCAATTCTGATCTGATACTTGATCATCACATTAATCTGCAGCCAGGACCAAATCTGCTGGCCAGTCTGCAGTCCACGATGGCGCTTCGACGGAGGGCTGCTACTGCCATGCGCATGGGTTCCGTGGGCGCTCTTCTCCCTTTACTGACAGTGGCAGGGGCCTCAGCTGTCTCAAACCGACGAGAAGCTCTTAATGCGCCTCTTAAATCCCAGAAATCGGCCTCCGAGTGCCTAACTACTACCGCTTCGCTGGCCTTCCAAGGACTCAAATCAGGCCTTGCATGGACTATCGCAGTGGACGCCTACGCTATGACCAGCGTGACAGACGCCGAGTTGGCACGATACATGGCGACGCGGCCAGGCTGCAGCGTTGTGGGTGAGATCGCCAGGAAGCTGGGACCACTTTGCATGCGCAATGTGCTGGGCTTCGCGGGCTTCCTGGGCCTCTTCGGAGGCGTAAGCTGCAGTTTGGAGGTGCTACGCAGCAAGAACGACCTGCTGAACCCATTTGTCGGTGGATTTACAGCCGGCCTGGTCTTCTTGCAGCAGGAGTTTCGCAAACCGCGCACGCACCTCACATCGGCAATAGTGTGTGGCGTGTTCGCGATGGCGATACACCATCTCATCCCTGCCATCAGTAAAGAGAGCGAGAGCGAGGACGTTGCCGCTGTTGAGACGCGGTAGTTGCGTGTATCGATTAATAGAAGAGAGGATGGGGAAGTAATCTATCTTTGGTTAAAATTAATTATTCGTGCCCTGACTGTCAATAGCAGGAGAAGGAGCAAAAGGCGGTGGACGATGAGGCAGCGACGACATGTTAACGGCAACAGCAACGCGTTGGCGTCGACAAATACAGCGGAGAATCCTTCATCGTCGAGCTGGGGATCAGGAAGGACAGTGCCGGTCAATATCATGTCGACATCGAAGCGAGTGGCACCTCCGGTTGTTCCTGCTGAGCATTTTACACCAACGACAATCAATCAAGGAAACACGCGTGGGGTTACAATACCCAGACGCCCTCAGTCTAGCCGCCTCCCCAGCAGTCGAGATCATTTGGCACCATGTCGCCCAAAGCGCCGCGTTCAGGTACAATGCAGTTAGTTAAAGGGCTGGATACTTTTTTTTAAGAGAAACTTACAATTGTCGGTATGAAAGAGTGCACGAGGTGCGAGTGAAAAGAACAACCAGTCAAATGACGCTTATACGGTATTGCAGTCTATCGGCGACAACACGTACGTGCAGTTTAGTTCATTGCAACGGTTTTAGAGCGGATACTAACCATCGTCCCCTTCGCAGTCTTCCGAAGCTTCAGCATCAAATTGGTGACCTTCTAAACACCAAAACCAGATCTTCCTATTCTCTCCAGAAGCCGACACCTCCCGAATCATCGGCACCTACGTCAGGAACTGATGGGAAGCTTCACGTTCAGTGGGCAGTCAAGGTGTCTACAGCTCCTACTGTTCAGGATCTGGATGGCAATTCTCCAGAGCCAACCGAGATGAGCGATTTACGCCGCCTTCTACAAGATCGCTACGGTGAAATACGTAGTGCTCGCCAAGCTTTTCTCGCTTGGGACGCCAATAGGGACGGTCGGATATGTGCGAAAGAACTTCGAGATATGCTCTCACGACTTGGGATTGCTCGAGTCCTCGGCCAAATGAAAGTAAACGTGATTCTCCAGCACGTTCTAGCAAGGCCAACCGCGTAAGTGCAATCGTTGTAGCTGAAGTTAATATGTAGCTGACTGTGGTTTGGTTGTTTGTGCACGATAGGTCTCTGGACTACGAGGATTTCTTTGGAGTGGTGTATGGCCCTCGGGAGCAAAATCAAGCAGCATTGAGTAGCTCAAACAGACAAACAGCGAACTATACTGGGCCGGAAGAAGACACAGATTCGACAGCAGACTCGGATTGCGTGGTTTCCTTGCTACGGTCCAAGTACGAGTCACGCAAAGTTCATCAGGTCTTTCGAGACTGGGATATTGATAAAAATGGTGGAGTCACGTTGGCAGAGATCGAGAGTAACCTTCGTCGCCAAGGTTTACGAATCTCGAAACCGGAGCTGATGAAGTTATTTGATACGTACGACCTAGACCGTGACGGCCGCTTACTGTACGATGAGTTCAAGCGTCTAGTGTATGGACCAGTGCACGAACCACGTTACAGCTACTTGGCAGAACAGCGCCGACAGAATGCGCATAAGCAGCCTATGCACGAACGAGACTCGTTGGAATTCTTTCGCAAGTCGACAGTACCCGAGCAGTCAAACCATAGCATTGATGTAAGTATGTGCATGCTATGGAAACTACTGAGATCGATGCATGCTGACTACTTGATGACACTAGAATCCCCGCTTTAGAGCTACACTCAAACTTAAGCTGAAAGAATTTGCTGCTAGACTCAACGATGCGTATGCTGAATTCGACGACGACCACAATGGCTATTTATCGTATAGCGAGCTTTGTGTCGGGGTACGATTTCGATATCTTACATGGACGCTCATTTTCAGTGACTGAAACTCGTTCTGTTTGCAGTTGAAGGAACTGGGTTTAAATCTGACCGAGCGCGAGTTCCTCCACTTAGCTACACGCGTGGACGCCGATGGAAATGGCGAGATTTGTTTTAAGGAATTTTGTCATGTGTTCGGAAGTGATGGTGCGGTTAACCGAAGGTGTCAATCGGCTCGTACTGGCGACGAAGAAGACAAACGTGTGGAAGAGAAAAGCGCAAAGACACAACTGAAGCACGGAAGTCAACGACAACGAGCCGCTGGAACGTTTAACTTTTCACACTTGACAAGGTAGGCTGAGCTGGTATTGATCGTCATGCTTTCTCTCTAACTGTAAGTACTGGGTTTGTCTTTAGGCGAGCCAAAACTCCAACGCGATGCGGCCGCACTCCATACCCGGACACGAGAGGAATTATAAGGTAGGCCTTGATACTACATTCATTGATGATCTTACAATACTAACGATTTCGCGCACAGCGATAATCAAGGTGACACTACGAATCCAGCACGGTTTATGACGGAATCGCAATTGTACGGCAGTGCGTCGACGTCGCGATCGATACCTATTCCAGCCAAGGTGATTACGACGCTCGGACAAGAAGAGAAACAACGCCTCGATGCTGCGAAAGCTAATCGACTGCAGCGATTGCGAGTCCAAATGGAACTCTATGAAGACCAAGCTCGGCCGCTTCAGGATTCCTACAACGTGGCTCAGGAACGGCGAGTGCGGACGCTGCAACGCCACCGAGAGCGATATCATCAGCGCATCGAGCAGCGACCACGCTACGCTCAATCGCCGGCACGAAAAGGTATTCAGATCTTGCGGGCGAGCTCTACAGCTCCAATCGTGTGACGCAGTGCTCTTTAAGGAACCAAAAGAGTTTTTGCTAGTGTCGTCCAATATTTTACGAGATCAAACAGCTAATACGAATTATCAGTGCCTTGCATCAATGCTGCTTCCTCTGTTGTATCACTGGGACCTTCTTGCTGATACTCCAAAACGGCCGAAGGATGGCAACGATCGTAGACCGTTAGTACAATAGCGCGGCAAACACTGATGAAGCGATCCCAGCTAGCAAGCAGAAGACTGCGTGTTTCCTCGCCGTTGAGATACCACACATCCAACTCGGCTAACGCATCCACCAGAGCCCCAAAGAGTGCGTTAACCTGTGACTTCACTATCTCACAGTCGTGCAAAACGCGCACGACGCGAGTGAGCAAATATTCCAGCAGATGTTGAAGCTCTTTTGGCTGCGATAGTCCAGCACCGATGGTCAGGAAGCCATGCACCACGAGGTACAACTTGCTTTCGAGCTCGTCCAAGCTACGGGCACTCTCGCTCAGTGTTCCTTTTGCTGCAGTCCATGATCTTACGCGAGTCATGATGTTCTCTCGGTACACTCGAAGGACATCGTTGTCATTGATGAGGTGGGCCTTGAGGTCGCGCAGGCAGTTCGTCAGTGGATGACTTAGATCTAACCCGACCGTCTCCCTCACACTCGTAGGTTGCAGCTTTTCTTGTAAGAATCCAATTGTGGGCCACTCTCTCGTGCTCGGAGAGCGCAATGCGATCTGAGCGCCGTTTTCCACGACATGTACTGTATCTTCAACAGTATCCTTGGTCCCTTTGGGGAACTGGAGCTTCGACAGCGTGTTCCGTTGCGGTAGCCAGTGAGTCATCAGTAACGCAGAGAAAAAACGCAGGTCAGGCCACGTGAGGAAACCCGTGACGGGGTGTTGAGGGTGCACTTGGAATCTCGTGTGCAGGATGAAGAGTAGACACGCATATTTGCTGGAGAGCTGCTCTGACAGCAGGAAAAGCTCGCTGACAGCGCGACACGGAAGGCCATGGAAGTTGCGGTCCTCCACGGCAGCGTACACTCGCCGCAGGTTCTCCAGTTGCCGACGACAACTCTTGAGTGTGCGGCCGGAACGCTCTGCCACGTCATCTAGGTCCTTTTCCAGACGTCCGGAGAGCTTCTTGCCCAGTAACCAGCGGTCTACGTCGGTATCGCGCGTGTAGTACCGCTCCACCATGTAGTATTGCTGAGCCGGTGGAATCTGGAAGAGGAGTTGCGAGCGGAACAGACTCGGTTGCGATAGGTAGTGCTCTAGCTTATCATAGAGGCGATACTGGTCCACCGTGTCTCGCCACAGTAACTCGCGCAGCTTGGCGTCCGCGTCTCCTCCCAGGAACGGCATCGGAACTGCCGATGGGAGTCGAAGTCGCGCGGCTAATGCGTCACCGGCGTTGTGGCCCTCAAGCCACAGCGCGAATACGTCCTCATTTACGCGGATTGGATCCGTCAGGAAGGCCTCGAACACCTCCCGCATCATGGTCAAGATACAATTCGTTCAAATGTGGACCACACCATGCCTTACGGATTGCCTGATCAGTATCCGTGAGCTTATGCCCGCAAGGTTGTTGGTGTGCATGGTCGGAGAGATGACCTGGGGGTTTCCAGCGTGATGGATGTTTTCACGGACGACCGACTGAAGTGGAAAGGCTCTAGCGGACGATGTCCGCATTCCGCTGATGATCGGCATGTTGACACACTGCAGCAATGGAAAGCCGATATGCGCAGCGCGACTGCAGTGGATTCCACTTGACGTACAGGTATTGTCAACGTAGCGGTGTGGTAGATATGGCGCGACAGGAAGATCGTCTTCATGGCTGAAGTGCAATCACCACTCTGCCTTGGAAATCGAGGCCTACTTACGCATTTGGGAAAGCCTGTACCCAACAGTTTAGAGAACTGCAATTTACTGGAATTTTTTAAAAAGTACCCGTAATAACTTACGGAATCTTAGCAGAAAAAATCTCTGTTCCGATATGCTACTAGTACTGCTTAGTAGTGATGCACACATTCTGTTCACAATTTTCTATGGACCTGTGCGTACCGTAATACTTGTACTTGCACATTGTACGAGAATTTCCAATTTGACCATATGAGAGAGGAAAGCATGATTGAGCTCCATCCACAACCGTATGTGTAGGTCGGTTTTCAGGGGTGAACCAATAGAATCCTGTCGGAGTAGCGATTCACATCATGTACTACCGATCCATTTGACTGCACAAAAGCAAAACTGAACGCAAACTCCAAGATCACCAACAAATACAGTTCCACTTCATGTACAGACTCCCACGTTGTTGTTATTATTGCGTGGCGAGAAACGCAACAGGGCAAGCTGTACGAAGAGACGAAGAGCTCTTGCGCCTCCAGCGATAACTGGACGGGATCGTTTGAACTTCTGCATCAGTACGACCGAAATTCAGACAGTGAAAGCGGCCAGCACCACAGTCTTTGATGCTCGTAAAAATTGGCGACGTTTTTTGCAAAGACACGCGTGTCACGCGGCATCGCAAACCTTGTCTGGCTGGAGCGCGTTACTGCGATGGGAACCGTACGAGCAAATAGGGGAAGTCACGCCACCGCTGGAAGGAAACCCGACAGCAAAGGCGAGGCAATTGCAGACAGCGGGTCGACGATTTACAATGCTGAACTTTGCAAGTTCGGAATGGTGGGTTTGAGTATGTGGAGCACGCGAACGATATCAACAAAAACATGGTACAGTGTGCATGGTACAGTACTGACAGTGTAGGTCCAGAAACAGCAAAAAAAAAAATGTCTGAAATGTCAATTCTCAGATGTCCACACTGATACAATGGTAACTTGTGAAGCGCTGAAATACTTACACTATACTACGTCTCTTCAATGAATTCTACTGCCTCTCACAAGCGGACATGCTAGTAACGGTGAGCAATTACCAAAACGTATTCGGTGTGCAAGGCGACGATGCGGATGGCGGATTGCACCCCCTGCCACCAGAAGAACAATGCGGCGCAATCGAGTTTCTGAGACTTTTCGATCTGACGCCAGCGAGGCTATCCACCGAAAACAAGCCTCCTCCCAAGCACTGCTTGGCATGCAGATCTCGACGCCACAAGCTCGCGGCCCGCCTATGCCATTGTCTGACTACAGTTAGCAGGCTATATTAATCTCTTGACGGACATTTTCTGTTTGAAGGCCTGGTAAAGTGGTTGTTAGCTCTACAACTGTCGTCCAGATGATTGTGCTGTCGTCACGTCGACGATCGATCACCGAAATGACTCGTATCCACCTTGACGGTGAACGGGAGAGTGTTCAAGCTGGATACTTCAGCTTCAGGATGGGGTCGAGCTGTGAAGGTTTGGCGCGTCCCATGTGCCATCTGTGCCTTCGATATCCCCGATCCAAAGCTTTGGATAGGACTGGGCGAATTACATTGCGGCTGCAGTGTCCGAGAAGGGTTTAGGAAGCGACACCAAGCCGGCTAGGCAACCGAGTTTCTACTTCTTCATTCTACAACTTGCCCGCTCCGGTCCAAGTCCTCTCTCAACAGTCCGAACTGTTCGATCGGAACCTCTCAAGTACTCTTTCATTAATCTCAATTCAAGCATCATGCTGTCCTGCACGAAGATGTTCGCGGTGTGCGCAACGGCTGCCCTGATCATGTCCAGCATTACCGAAGCAACTACCGGCAACCAGGTTCCAGACTACAAGCACGGTGTGCAGCTAGGCGTTGGTGCTGGAGTAGGCCTCGGCGTCGGCGGTGGCGAGCAGAACCAGAACGTGGAGACGCCGTGCCCCCAGTCCGGGAACTCTCAGTCGGGTGACCAGAACGGCCTTGGTGTTGGCGTTGGTGCCGGGCTCGGCCTTGGACTAGGCGTTGGCGGTGACCACCACAGCCAGAACGGTGGCGTTGGCGTTGGTGCCGGGCTCGGCCT